GGATAGAGAACCGTTAGGAGAAGATAGAGAGGTTGCTCCGGAAGTGGGTATGATCTTCGATGGTGAAAAAGAGTTGCATGATTTTTATAAGAGAGATGCTTATACCGTCGACTTTCCTGTGAGGAAAAGGAATTCGAAAAAGGGTGACGACGGAGTTGTTAGATATATCACATTCACATGTAGTCGTGAAGGCCGAAGAGCCAATAACACAAGCAGTACTCTGAAGCCGTAACCAACAAGTCAAACAGATTGTAGAGCGAGGATATTTGCATCTGCAGATAATGTTGGGAAATGGAGAATTAACACCGTCCATCTCAAGCATAATCATAAAACAAGTTCATCCAAGTCGAGGTTGTTTCGATGTAACAGTGAATTGACTGCAAATGCTAAGAGAAAGCTTGAATTGAATGATATGGCGAGAATTCCATTGCACAAAAGTTACAACTCCGCAGTTGTGGAAGCAGGAGGGTACGAGAACATGAATTATATTGAAAAGGACTGTCGAAACTATATTGAACAAGTAAGACGGTTGCGACTTGGAGAAGGAGACACTGCATCTTTACAATCCTACTTTTCAAAGATGCAAGCACGATGTTCGGGGTTTTATTTCAGTATGGATTTGGATGACGAGTCACGGCTTCGAAATATATTTTGGGCAGATAGCAGATCTAGGCAAGCATATAAGGAGTTTGGTGATGTTGTTACCTTTAACACGACTTATCTTACAAATAAGTACGACATGCCTTTTGTTCCTTTTGTCGGAGTTAATCACCATGGACAATCAATACTGCTTGGTTGTAGGTTCTTGTCGAATGAGGACACGAGTACGTTTGTGTGGCTATTCAAGACATGGCTCAAGTGCATGCATGGCCTACCTCCCCATGGAATAATTACGGATCAAGATAGGGCCATGCAAAATGCTATTGAAATTGTTTTTCCAAATACAAAACATAGATGGTGTTTATGGCATATTATGAAAAAGTTGCCAGAAAAGTTTGGTTATCACGTTGACAAAGGTTCGATGTTCTCATCTTTACACAATTTGGTCTATGATTCCCAAACTATTGATGAATTTGAAGAAGGTTGGAGAACGATGGTGGAATAGTTTGCCTTGCATGACAATGATTGGTTGTTCGACTTGTACGATAATAGGAGTCGTTGGGTACCGTGTTTCCTGAAGACAACATTCTGGGCAGGGATGTCTACAACACAACGAAGTGAGAGTATGAATGCATTCTTTGATGGATATGTACATTCGAAAACCTCATTGAAGCAGTTTGTAGAACAGTACGAAAGAGCACTTCGGAGCAAGGTCAAGAAAGAGTTCCAGGCTGATTTCAGGTCATACTCGCACATGGTGCTGTGTGCAACTGCCTTCGAAATGGAAAATCAATTTCAATTGGTTTATACAATATCCAAGTTCAAGGAAGTGCAAGATGAGTTCATAGGAAAGGTGTATTGCGATGTCATTGCAGCTACAGATGGATATTTCGGGACAAATTATGAAATTCGGGAGTCTATTGTATATCCCGAGGGGAGGAGAAAGAAAACATATATTGTGTCATTCCGAATGGACACGTGAAGTTCTTTGCAGTTGCCTTCTGTTCGAGTTTCGTGGAATTATTTGTAGGCATGCAATCACGGTATTCGATCGTAATGACATCACGACAATACCGGACAAGTTTATAGTAAGGAGATGGAGGAGAGACGTCAGTAGACCACACACAAGAGTCGCAGTGAATTATGACGGGTTGGCTAGCACTCCAAAACAGATTCGATACGATGATCTGTGTCAGACATTTTCAAAGTTGGCGGACCTTGCTGCGAACGACGAAGGACGGGCTCGTGCACTAAAGGATTGGATAAAATCTCAAGCAGAAGAACTGAGGTCTTTAAATTCGAGTAATGGTAGTAATCTTCTTTCCCAGCCAACTACGCATTTACCAAGCCAATGTAATAATGTACAAAGTCAAGGCGGTGTGAATGCATTAGATCCAAAAACATCGAAAAGAAAGGGCGCACGAAGGAAACTTTGAAGGAAAAGTGCGTTGGAGTCCACTTCAAAGAAGGCAAAGATATGTTGCTTTACTAACCTCGTCAAATAGAAAAGGAGCTTCGCTACAAAATCTTATTTCTTTCCATGTCTATGTACAGGCTACTTCAAATAAATCTAAAGGAAAGAGACTACCACCTAGCCGTACCGATATGGAAGAGGCTACATCGAATTTTCAATTTTCTGGACAAATTCAAGATTCGCAATGTTTGTTGGTATGTTTACAATTTTAATGTAATTACATCTTATTTTATGCTCTCTTGAAGTTCCATTAACATTTTCAAATGATGTAGGGTGATGTCCAAAGCCAAGTGTGTGGCCAGCAGTTATCATCTACCTTTATCCCTCCAAGTTTTGCTCAGGTAAAGGTTTATTTTATTTCCTACGCATTTTGGGTGAAAACATTAAATGATCGCTAATAATGTATTGTTGCATTTCATTTTCAGCTCAACGGTACAGATCGTTTCCCAACAGCTCCCCACATTGCAGACGACCTTGCCCGTATTCAGCCCGTTACGTCAAATCGCAACGATGACGAAATCTCATATGGGAATTGAAATGGGGACGGAAGCCATTGGAAAAATTGGTCCTTACTTTGAGTTCCTAAATTATAAACATATGAGGAGAACTCGATTTTGTGTCATTCGTGTCTATTAGTGAACCTTCGTGTGTATTAATGAACTTTCATGTGTATTGATATGCATTATCGATAATTGCTGGGAATTTTTCTGTCATTATGTATAGCAATTGTTCAATTTTTTTGTCATTTTTCTGTCATTATCGTTTTTCAATCTATCATCGTTTCTAATAGATTGAAAGCATATTATGGTTTCATATATTGTTGTCATTGTTTACAGCTAGAAGTTGTGTTTATGGGATGCAGTTGATCCCTACACCAAACGCAGAAAAATTTGTTAATTTGGATGTCAACTTTCTGGAGAATCAAACTTTGATGACACCTATACTCACTGTGGGAACGACACTAAAATGAAAGATTAGTTGTAAAAGGGTAAGCATCAAATACAATATGTACATTATAATTTCACGCTGGAAGTTCACAAGCAATATAAGGAAAACTAAATGAGATTGCTCAACGAGTTGGAATCACTACTGAGGGATGTTTAGTTATTGATTAACCAATACAATGGAATACTACTTATATGATGCTTGATGCGGTAGTACAATTTAGGGATGCTTTTGAACACATATTTAAACTAATGAAACTGTATGGTGATCAACCTCACTCATATTTAAGTAATTAAACACTTATTTAAACTAATTAAACCATTCATAGGCTCCATTACATGGCAAAGTCAAATTTTAAGAAGAGAAAAAATTCACCAGTTTCAACGTCAACAATAATAAAATGTAGACAGGTGAAATAGATGTTCCCTTTCAATAACATCAACCATCAACTATATCTTTCAATTCAATCAGGCTTCTACAATGCAACACAAAGCCTTCCACCTCTAAACTACCACTTTGCCCCAAAATTATTTACTCTACTGTCGACAAACACACACAAAAACAATCCATAATGTTCTCCTGCTAGTTATCAAGCTCGGCCCTTTCCCTTTCCATCCACTACCGCACTTCCCTTTTCCCTGCGGAAAGTCACGTTCAACGTTATCTCGACATCTCGTTTTTCAGCTATTCGAGCTAGACAATCGAACATGGCTGGCAAATCTTCCTCAACTTCATCTATGGTTGCAGGATTCAGAGCTTCATTCCTTGTACTCGATTCACCACGTGATTCTTCATTCTCCACCCAAAAGAAATATGCACAATTATTACTGCACGTTTTGAATAATCGCCCTCGATTTTCCGTCTTCCTTTCAACTTCAAAGCATTTCTCCCATCCCAGTGGACACCAGGGACATCCTCATTTTATCGGACAATCATTGAAGAAGTGCTCTGTACTTCTACAGCTGTGACAAACACCGATGTTCTTTCTTCTCATCCTAAACAGGAATCAAACACAAAATATCATTTGCCGTTCTATTCATTGTCTGTACATCTAGAATTATTCCACCAATTATACCAGTATCTTACAACAATTTACAGAGAATGGGAAATTAAAAAATAATCAAGTTGCAGGAGAAACTTACTTCACTTACGGTTAATGTGGGCTAGTTGAATGCTGCTGGTGGAAGCTGAGCGTGGCGTCTGTCAACAGAGGTGAGGGAACTTAGTTTTTCACAATTTCTTTCACTTATAGTTTGGAAGGAAACTTGCTTAAAGCTTGGAATGAAGAAAGACACTTACGTTTTTCAGATGAATTTTTGGGGGTAAATTGTGCCGTTTAGGAGGAAGCCCAAACTTTCGCAGTTGACAACTTTGAGGAAAAATTCAGAACACAACCCACATGACGGAGGTGAAGATACCTTGATGTTGTGGACTTACTCGACGGTCGAAGTTGGACAAGGCTGCGTCGCACGGTGGTGAAGATGAAGGAGGCGACTTCACTGTGTGCGGCTTATGGTCGTGAAGATGAAGGAGGCGATTTCACTGTGTTCGATGTTTGGAGATCTCCGTACATTTCAAATCGCCGGGCGGAGGATGAATATGATCGCGGCGCCGGAAGAGATGAAGGGAATGATTCCTAGGGTTTTGACTTTCGATCGCCTTAGACGGGAATGAAATGGGAAGGTTTTTCTTCATTTTCTGCCTTTTTTATGCCTTATATACACCTCCTCTGCCACGTCATTCTGTGCGGCTTCGGTAAACTTATTCTTCGGTACGTCTAGCGCGACTCTAAATATTATTCATTGTGTTTTGTCAGCATAAAGGAAAAAAAAATGAAAAAACAGAGGTATAAATAGATGCCAGAAAACACTAGAAAATCATTGGTATTACAATAATTACAAGGAAACATATTAAAATTAAATACAAAAAACACAAAAAATTACCTAAAAATTGGAAAAATTAAGGGTAAAAAATATACAGACAGGAAACATGATAATACAGTGCCCAACACTATTACACTAACCCAGCTCTTAACTCTAAAGATTCCCTTTTTAATTATTTTTGCCAGCTCAGCCGCTCAGAACCCGACTCCAGCCACGCCGACGCCAAATGTGGCCGGTCTGTGCGGCTCCAGTTTCCTCATAGCATTCTTCCAGTAACAAGACTCCAGCAGGAGCTTAGCCGCAGCCGTCCTCATCGGTTCCGACTTACACCTGGTGAGCACGAAAGGCTCGTAGCCGACGGCATTCACCAGCTTCTGCTCGATTATGGTAGCCATCGACGCTGCAGCGGCAGCTGCCGGCAGAGAACACGACGACCGCGGTGGTTGTTGGAGGTGTTTCTGATTATTGTAGTTGTTATTCTGCGGCGGAAGTGAAATGGGTTTAGGCTTAGAATCTGGGATGAGTTTCTTTATTATTGATTCATGCTCACGGCCTCCTCCTTTTGTCGGTTTTTGATTTGATGCCTTTAATGGTCTCTCTGGTAGCCATCTGAGGAAATCTGTGCTGCAAACCCATGTTTCTTTCGAGACCTCCATTGACAGTTTTGGCTCACACATCATCAGTAGTAGACATTCAGGCAATGCTTGGCTTTCTTTTTCTTTATTGGGTTCTTGATTTTCTTGTCCTTTGGATTCAGATTCATTGGATTCTGCCACATTTCCCTCTTCTTCTTCTTCTTCTTCTTCGTGAGGTTTTTCTTGATGAGAGATTAATTGGGTGGTTGTTTCTTCTTGGGTTTCTTCTAATTTCTTCAATGCAACTTCTTCTTCATACTGAGCTAATTCTTGTGTTGATCCACAGTCTTCGTCTTGTTCTTCGTCTGATTCTGCAGATGAAGATGAATTGCAACGTGGGTTCTGTTCTACTTCCTCTTGTTGAATTGTGCCACCATCTGCATCGAAGTGTTCTACATTTTCTTGATCTAAAAGAGCTTCGAATGAAGACATTTTTGATTCAACCTCCTCTTCAATCAATTTATCATCGTCTACCTCTAATTCTTGTTCCAGTTCTTCTTGCTCTGTTTTGTGCAACAATTCCTCCATTTTTTGTGCCTCTTCCACTTCTTCTTCCACATTTTCAGGCACTTCTGCTTCTTCTTCTGCTTCTGTAGGGATCTCTTGTTCAACAGATACGCCAACATTTCGTTCAGGAATTTCATTTGCAACTTCTCGTTCTTGCACTTCAAACTCTTCTTCAATATTCTCATTTTCTAGCTCAATCTCTTTATCATCATCATCTTCATGTTTAGAAGCAGCATTTGCATCCCAACTAAACCTGTTAGCAAGATCAACCATTTTCATAGGAACAGATCTCCGCCTCATCAACAAAAGAGCATTCTTGGGCGGTATGCAGATACTCATTCTCCCTGCTGCTGCTTCTCCCTCCACACTTTGACCCTTCACTTCAATTTTATCATCTTTAATCTCAATATTCTCCAAAACATGCCTTCTTGAACTCCTCATTGGCATCCTCTCTTTCAAATCCGTCCTCATTTCATCTTCATCCCCGCCGCCGCCCACCAGATCAATCTCCCTTCTCTTCCGTCCCTTACCATCATTTACAGACACAAGCCATCTCGCAAACACGGCACCACACGAAGAACTCTGCCCATTATCCCCTCCATTGTTTCCGTTCCGCTTCTCTTCCTTTTCCCTCTCGCTTGTAGAGAAACAAGAAGATTTGCACGGAAACAAGCAGCTAAATTCAGATCCAAAAGACCTTAAAGCCTCACATATTGTAACGGGCAAATGAACCCATCTCTGATTTCGGTGAGGAGGCAAGCAATGTTGTTGTTGCTGCTGGTGATTTACACTCACTCTCAGCGTTTGAGAGCAAAATCTATCTTCATTCTGTCGTGCTTGACCATGCTCTAATTTTCTAAAACTAATATCTCCACTCCATCTTCTGGACAGGCTACGCGTTTGCTTCACTTTTTTCTTGGTCTTCACCCTTACCTGGCCAATACAGGTGACCTTAGGGGAAGAGGGTTCTGGGTTTTCAAAAGCACCGCCTCTTCTCTTTTCTGGGGTGGTGAAAAATGGTGACGCGCCGCCTTTGAGGCTGCCATTGGTGCGCAACTTGCGGCGTAGAGAGGTGGAGAGAGAAATCGGAACGTCACGAGCGGCGCGGCCTGGACGTGGGATTGATTTAGAAAGTTTCATGGAGGAAGAGGAAGAAAGGCGAGAGGCTAAACAAATCAAGATTTCGCTTGTATTTCCAGTGGCGCTACTAGTGGCTCTATAATGAGGTTTGTCAAGTCCATTTTGATTTGGACTGCAGTTTTACTGCACTGAGATTTTTTCAGCCGTGGATGAATGAAACGTGCAGTAAAAGTTAAGAGGTTTGAGTGAATGAAATGAATGATAAAGCTGTTTTTTTTTTTTTTTTTTTTTTAACAAAGTGTCCCAACTTGCGTCAGACTATATCCTCGTTCCTGAACCTTCGGCCCCTCAGCTGCTCAGGGAGGTAAATCGCAGGTTGTGCCCTTGTTGGTTCCCAGATTCCCACATGATTTTTACTACTTCTCCAAAAGGACCCTCCTCCATGATTATTACATGCTGCTCAGGGATAAAGATGTGTTTTATATCGTGGGGTTGCAGCAGGTGCAGATTTCTTAGAATGGTCAAAAGAAAACTAAAAATGTAAATTGCAGGATTAATAAATTAGCAAAATTGTAGGACTTCTAATGAAAATTTCACCATCATGCTTAGGTACTTTTTATTTGGACAAATTACCTCCTTTGTCTTCCCCCAAAAGAATCATTTTCTTACTTCTTACACTTTTGTCAAATGCAATGTACTAAATCTATTCTAAATTAATGATAAATAAGAGAAATACAACATATCTTGGTTTTGTAAATTCTATTTTACACACGATATCATGAACACATATACTAAGTCCCAACAAATGCTTTGTGTGAAAACTTACCTTGAAAATGATCGATTCACCTTTACAAGATTATCCCCTAACCTTTTTCACATGTTTAGCGCCCAATCTGAAGTCCATCTTTTGTTTACAAGCATTATACGAATGCAAGATCATCCAATATAAGTTAGTTACATTTACATCAGTCATAATTTATTAGCTTCAACAATAAACAGAATAAAATTTTACAACCTTTAATCAACAAGGTTATGGTGTACTATCACCTGCCAATGGACATATTGACTATTGAAGAATAAATATGGTATCAGAATCGTAGAATCAGATCTAATCATGCATGATTCATAGGAGACACATGATGAATAAACAATGTATTAATCAAGTTGATTAGGGACAAGATAAAGGAGATTAAGACACTACTTGTTGATACGCTAAAAGTGCAGTCCAAATCGAATAGCCCAAAGAATGAAACCCAACTGGGCAATTCAGAATAAATGTCCAAATAGGGTTACTAATGAATGTAGTGGAAGCCCACGAATGCGGTAACACCATCGTCCAAACTTGCAAGACGCCCAAGATCTAAGCGAATGAAGTGCCTTGTAGTTGCCAAGGGTTATGACCTTGTTCTTGCCCAAACTTTCGAATCGCCAAGGATCTTAGTAAATATAAGATGTTATGGTTATTCAAAAGTGCATTTATCGAAGCAGTTATTAAGTAATCTTATCACGTTCCACGATTCAAGGATGTTCAGTTGAAGACGGTTGAACGACAAAGAGTAGTGACAGCAGTTAGAGACGGCAGTTCCACGATAAGTTGGCCACTATGAAGAAAGTGGGCAGTTATAAAGCAATTAAACAGTTTTTAAGTAGTTGATCACGAAGAGATCATCAAATGAATATAAAAGGAAGAAAAGACATAGAGCAAAAGGACCCTGAATAAAATACTTTCAAACAGAGAATATGTAATTTCAATTTCTTAGTTTAGATTTAAACAATTCTTTTCCGTACTCATGTGCTTGCACCCCTTGGAAGCATTCTGTTTAAGTTCCAATTGTAAAGTCATCGCCAATAAAACACCCCTTTTTGGGACTTTGTCTCAAGAGGTTTGTTTCTTACACAATCATTTGATCCCTTTTTAATTGTTAGCGACTACCCGTGCGAAACAATTTGGCACGCACAGTGGGACCTTGGTGTTTGGTGTTGAAGATACAAAAGGTGAAACACATCAGAAATTCGATAAGGAAGTAGCAAGTCAAGGAGGAGTCCAGTCTGTGATCGAGCGTTATGAGGAGCAGCATAGCTCTCCACGAACAGATAGGCAGAATCAGAGCAATCATAGTTATTACGAACCAATGACAGAGTTGAGTCCTCGAACCATGCGTGCATTACTTGGAGAACTCACACAAGATATCATTGAACATGTAAATCTATGATGTATTCATAATATGGAAAGATTTACCCAAAATGAGAATGCACATTATGACAACATGGTCAAACAACTAAATACTTTGAACGAAATAATGAATAAGTTAGTAGGCCAAATTTGTCAGCCAGTTGTGCCTCTTGCAAACCACTTTCAAACTAGGACAATTGTGGGACATAATCCCCCAGT